TTGATTGCTTATTTAAGTAGTCTGCCTAGGTTCTATACTAGCTGCTATACCTGTAACCCAACTAGAAAATTATCTATTTAAACTCTCTAATCATAATCTAATTTTACTAAGTGAAATCTTCTAACTTGAATGCCTAAATTTTATTTGTGCCTTAGGACTTACTAACTTTTGGATTAGTTTATTCTCAAGGTAAACACACTGAAGCCTTTTATATTTCATTCTGGTTAACCTTATATTGCAGTTGCTGAGGCTCCTACTTGCAGTTGGGTTTTTAAACCTATTTAATTACTATGCTTTTGTAGAGTTCACTTAAAACCCTAGTACCTATATACTCCACTTTTCCTAATTTATAAACTTCTATTCCCAGCTTTCAGAGCATTCCAATCTAATGGCCCAGAAGATTGAGTTTGCCAAACCTTCAGTTTATAGTTATCTCAACTCTGGTATATACTTCCATAACATATATCTTTTTTCTTTAACTTGTGTTCTGGTAGTCTTAGTTGGTTTCCTTTATGAGGGTACATTGTACTCTTCTTCCCTTAAGAGTACCTTGTACTCTTACACTTAAGAGTTCTTTGTGTCTTAATTTCTGGTTCAAGTATTTGTCTTTAGTTTTAGTTTTTTTTATAGTACTATCAAAAGTCTGTATTACCTTTTTACTTAGATTTTCTCAAGCCAGTTCTCAATCTTCTAGTCTTTTTTTAGTTTTCTATAGTTCCAGAAGGTTTATTATGAGTTTGTGCTACATATTCTAGTTTGCATTTCTTTATACAACCCTGGAGTCATACTGATACTTCTAGAACCTTCCAGTACACAAATACACTAGTTCAACCAGAGTTATAGTCTCTAGAACCTGACTAATCGATTAAGATCAGTTACTATAATACAAGATAATTATTTAAAATATTGCCAATAGGATTTGAGCTCTGTACCTTTAATTACAAAGAGCTTGGAGGGTAAAAACCAACTAACTATACTAGGTCACCACACTCTACTTGTAGATTGTTAAATTAGATTGTTGTATTTAAATATTACAAATTAAGAGTTTGTGAAGATTTGAATATTGTAGTTTCTAAAAGCAGTATATATAGTAAATAAAATTTCAAATAATTTAGTAAAAAAATATGACTATAGTAAGATTTGTGTTTAGAAAGTGTAAAAGATATTGTTATTGTCAACTAGTTACTAACTAATACCTATAAATTATTAGAGATTTTCAAAGCTAATACCAGATTTATTAATATAGAATATAAGATAAATAAACTAATAGTTATAGTTAGCAAGTGATTAGAGAGTATTGAATACAAAATTAGATAAAAATATAAAAAAAATTTGTGAGTTGCATAAAGTAAGATTAGAAAGTACAAAGATTAAATTAGTATTTCTAAGTTTGATTAAATAAATAAGATCTTATAGATTTGTATTGAAGTTGATAAATTTATTTAAATTAAATTTACCAAAAAATTTAATAGTGTAGCTAATTAAAATAAGTATTATATATTTGTTATTAATAAATTAGAGTTAAATAAATAGCTATAGTATAGTTTTGTAGTTATATTAGAGATAGAGCAGAGCAGTAAAGAGTTAGTTGTATAATTATATTGCTAGTAAATAATAAGTATATATCTAGTATTTGTAGATTGACAGCAAGCTTTATTAATAATAATTTGGTTATTAAATAATACAATAAGCTAAAGTTTTGCATGTTTCTAAAAATAACTTTATTATAACTATAATAATAAGTTGGAGAAAAATTTAATAAAAAAAATATAAAACAGTTGTCAAAAAAGTTAATAAAGTTTTCTAGAAATTTGAACTATTGTGAGATTTTTTCTTTAGAAATTTTGTTAATTCTTAGAGAGATATACTTCTTGTTAAAAAGATAAAAGTTATTAAAAGTAATAAGTTAGTTGAAAAAGAGTATATAATAATAGTGTAACTATTTTTTAAAAGTAGTATAATTCAAAATATTTAGTTATTTTTTCAGTTTTTGATTCAACTCTTTTTTGATGATCACTTGGACCAACTTTTTAAAACAAAATTTTTAACAAAAATAGTAAAACTATGCTAGAAAAGAAAGACATAAGACTGATGAGAACTATAAACTAGCACCTATTATTTAGAGATAGTTCTCATATGCTATTTGCTAATAGGTTTAGAGCTTATCACTCACTGTGGGGATAGCACTTGTTATTTAGAAGTAGTTCTCATATACTTCTTGCTAACAAGTTCAGAGTTTATCACTTACTGAAAAGAATAGCAGCAGTGTGTTTGGATCTACTTGTTTTATTATTCTTGGCAAAAAAATACTCTCTTTTAAAAAAAGTACAAGATCTATACTTTTTACTATCACCCACTTGTGCTTACAACAAAATTTTTGAAAAAAGTAGGCAAAACAGCTTACTTCTGTCAAAAGATCAGCATTGTTTACTCTTTTCAAATTCAATTTATCTGAAGATTGCAACTATGTATTTTGTTTGATAACAAATATGTCGCTACTTCATATGACAAAGTCTGTCAACTAGTCTACAATTAAAAGTATATCTGGAATTGGTCACATAGTTGGAAAGAAACTAATATATTAAAACAAAGTCTTATAGCAGAAATATACAGATGTTGTATTTGTTATATAATTTTTAAGCCTTGTATAGGTTATAATAGTACTATTAGATTTTTTTTTTTTTTTGTTTTTTTTTTTTTGAAATCTTTTTTTTTTTTTTTTCTTTTGTTTCTTTTTTTTTTTTTTGTCATGTTTGGTAAAAAACTTTTTATTTCTTCCCCTTTTTATCTCGTGCTCTTTGAGAAGAAAGAAGAATTAGAAGGAAAATTAGTTCTAATATTTTAGTTCTTTAAGAGCTAGCACATAATCTGAATCATCTGTGAATCAGTGCGATAGTCGCAGCTAGGTGCCAATAAGTAACTAAGTGAGGTTGGGCTTTTAGTTGCAGCTATGTTGTTTTTTAACTATAATTATCTTTCAAAATTAATTTGTAAACTGTACACAAGTCTTGGCAAGATCATCAAAGCATAAAAAAAAAAAAAAAAAAAAGTAATATAATTTGAATATATAAACAAAATAGATTCAAGAGTGATAGATCCTTCTTGAATTATAAAAAGAGTAGTAATATTTGGGTTGGGGCTAATTGTCTAGTTTATATATTTGAGAAGTTAAATAATTTAACATTTGTAATAAAACAATTAAAGCTATTAATTAAAAGGTTAGAGTAAGATAAGATATTAGTAAAAAACCAAAAATTGTTTTGAGGTTATTAGATTCTAATTTGGATTAAAATTCTAAAAAGAGTGTCATTATTAAGATATTTAATAAAGTTAGAAATATAATACTAAAGCTAAATATTTCAAATATTTTTGATATTGTATATATGTAGTATTGGAAGCAAAAATAGCAAGTTTGTCACAAAAGACAAGAAATCTTATATTATATTAGTATTGGACTTTGACAAAAATATGAATACAATAAGGTTTCTAAGTTCAGTTTAGTCTAGATTTAGGTTTAATGAATCTGAATCTAACCTGAACATGAACTACAAATTTTGCAAATCATTGAACCTAAACCTGAACTGAATTTTGAATTTATAAACCTAAACTAAACCTGAACTTAAAATTTTGATTTAGTTCAGATTCAGTTCAAAGTTTATAAACATGTTCAGATTTAGTAGTAGTTCAGTAATAAAATATAATTATTATTTTTAGAATTTTCAAATTTTGAATTTTTTAAAGAAATCTTTTTTTTTACTAAGTAAATCTATTTTTAACTTCTAAAAAAGTTATAGAGAAGTGTCTTGTGATAAAAATAGCAGTTAAAAGTTAAAATTAGCTCAATAAATTATGAGATATAAATATTTTAGTTCTTGCAACTATATATTTTCTTCTTTATATAAATAAAGAAAAAATAAATAGCTATCAAGATAAAAATACTTATATATTGTAATCTACTAGGCCAATTTTAATAATTTAACTATTATTTTGATTGCAAGACACTTCTCTACAACTTTGATTAGAAGTTAAAGAGAGATTTATTTAGTAAACATTTAAAATCAATAATATTTTGTATAATTTTATTAATAAAATAATAAAAAATATTATAATCCTTAAAATTTTACTAATTAATTATATTTTTAAGTTTTAAAAAAACTTGTTTTTCATATAAAACTATACTAATATATATTTATATTATAATTTTAAATTTTTATAAAAATATTCTTAATTTTGAAAATTTTTATCAAAATCTCAAAATTAAGCAGATTTTTCTTAAATTTTACAAATATAAAACAAACTTATACTAATATAATATATTTTTATATATAGAATAAGTTTATTTAGAATATAAATATATAATTAATTAATAAACTTTTAAGTATCATATAATTTTTTATAATTTTATTAATAAATTATAAAAAATATTATGAGTCTCAAAATTTTATTAATTAATTATATATTTATGTTCTAAGTAAACTTGTTTCATATATAAAAATATATCATAATAGCATATGTTAACTTTATATTTATAAAATTTAAGAAAAATATGCTTAATTTTGTATTTTTAATCAAATTTCAAAATTAACAATATTTTTTTTAAAATTTAAAATTATAATGCAAATATATACTAATATGATTTAGTTTTATATGTTTAACAAGTTTACTTAGAATATAAAAGTATAATTAATTAGTAAAATTTTAAGAATTATATGATTTTATTAACAAAATTATACGGAAAATTATATTTATAACACCGTGTTATATAACACCCTATCACGTGACATGAATCGGTAAATTTACATTGCATAATATTACACAAAATTTATTTCACGCCTAAGCTAAATTCGTACATACATAACGGTATAACGTACGTAGACATATACATGTGTACGATAGGTAAGTGTAAAGTATTGCACATAATAAGCAGTACAAATGATTTTATTAAACATAAAACGTCTTGATCAATTATTATTCGACCTAATTCTAGAGCATATAACCGATCATCGTTTTACTGTATGTAATAAAAAGAACTTCGTTAACGCTTGTTGACGTTTTCTAGAACGATTAACTGAAATGTCAAATACCCAAAAAAAAGTTATCTAACCCTAAATGCAAGCTTTAACTTACCGACCTTCAATATGAGAAATAAGGCATTTATCCTATTATCAAACATGAAAGAAGCTTATTAGCATTTATTCAAATCGTAATATGATAGTATAGCAATCTAAAAGCTACAGGTAACGGACCATTAATCCCAACCAAATCTTGTCCTTTATGGACTTCATGCACTTCATCAAACGTTTCATCATGCGCTTCATCATACGCTTCACCATGCGCTTCATCATGCGCTTCATCATGCGTTTCATCATGCGTTTCATCACGCTCTTCATCAGGAAATGTTTCTACTAACTCTTGAGATGATTCCAATAATTCTTGAGATGAGTCCATTAATTCTTGAGCAGAATCCAATAATTCTCGAGAGAAGTTCAAATCTAAAGCTTGACCGGAGGAAAGCTCCATAAGTCGTTATTGTCCAAAATCAAGAGATCAAGAAGAAATGTAAAAATAATAGCCGGAAAAAAGGCCAGAGAAATCGCAAAAAAAATAATTATTAACACCTAAAGAATACAGGTAAATTAGTATCGTAAATGTTCTACATTTTCATGAATATAAACACTAGCAAACACTAATATTCATACCACTTTAAAAACCACCCAACGCCTCAATTAGAAAAACTACACAGCACTTCAACTAAGAAACCACCTGGTGTCTTTATGAAGGTACAAAAAAAAGAAAGAAAACCCTGTTAACAAAAGAAGTTCAGTTGACATATTTCACCAAACACTTCTATGAAGCAAATGAGGCAAAAAAATTTACCTGACATCTTGATTAAAGCAAAAACCGATCGAACCTTTATAAAGGCAGAATAAAAAAAAGTCTTCTACGGCGAAAGAACCACTTAGCACCTTTATAAGGTCAAAGTGCAACTTGACACCTTTATAGTAGTGAAAAGAACCCTGGCTTATTCGGAAGAACCCGTTAATAAGATGTTCAATTAATATTATCTTATCAGACACCAATATGAATGCATAAAACTACCTGAGACTAAAAAGTATAAAAACCACCAAACGTCAAGTAAAAAAAAACGAAGAGCCAAGTAACACTTTCGTAGAACGAAAAGACACCTGGAATTTTTGTAATGGCAGGAAGTGTCGTTAATGAAATTCAGTTACCTAATGTTTTACTGATGCCTTAAACGAAAAAAAGTAATCTGACGCCTACCTGAGAACCCGTAACTTGTAAAAAAGGAAAAGGGAGAAAGAAAAGAACCACACGACACCTGAAAACACCTAGAATTTTGTATAAGAAATGCCGTTAAAAAAGAAGTCTTGCTTAATGGCACTTTATAATGCAAAAAAAGCCACCTAACGTTTTGATCAAAGTAAAAAAAAGTCACCCACACCTTTATAGACGTAAAACAAGCCACCCGACACCTTGTAAAGAGCAAGAGGCAACAAAATCTTGTAAGTAGCAAAATCGCCCAACACCTTCGCAACAAACGTTCTAGCACTAGCTACTGAGCGATCAAATAACGTGACAGGCAAATTTATTTATATACAAATTTAGATCACGTGTTATGGTGCGATACGTAACATGGTGTTATACTTATAATTTTCCTAAAATAATAGTTAGTGAATTATTGTTGGTAAAATGTTATTTTTATGAGACAAACTTTGGTGAAGTTAGAGTTCCTATCCATTATCTGTTTATCCATTTATCTATCAGATATTCAGATCTGAATTTATTTGGATATTCATTATACTATTGATATCTGGATAATTATCTGAATATTTGTCAGATTATCCGGATATCAATAGTAAATAGATATCTGGATAAATTCAAATATAGATAAATGAATAACAGATTTATCTGAATTGGACCTCTAGATGAAGTGAACTAAACTGCTTATTTTAGTAATCAAATTAATATTTTTTTATTGTTATTAATCTTTTTAATATCTTTTTTAAAAAAAATAAAAAACAAGAAATAATTATATTGTATCAACTAAAGCAAAAGTTCTCAAATTGCAAAAGCTTTCATATATAAAAATATAGACAAGTATATTTCTAAGTAATATACTCTCTCTGTTAACAGATTTTATAAAATCTTAAAAGTAGAAAATATGTAGATTATTTTTTATATGATTTTAATGATATAAAAAAATCTTATATATATAGTAAAAATCTTATATATATAGTAAAAATATATTACTAATAAAAGATTTTGAAGCTACAATCAATATTTATCAGAATTTAGAAATTTGTAATGCTTAGCATAGGCTAAGCTATATTATATTTATATTGTAAGAGTACAACTAGCCATATATACAACTTTTGGTTGCCTATTTAAGTAGTTTGCTCTAAGGTTTTATACTAGTAGCTATATCTGTAATCTACTAGAAGATTACTTATTTAAACCTTCTAACTTTATATCTGTATCATGATACCTATATCTAATCTTTTTATTTTGGAATCTAAGACTTTAACCTCTAATACCCAGTTCCTTCTCCAAAACTGAAAAGGTATTTATTACTGTACTAAACTTGCTAGAATAGTATATATTCTACATATATACTCACCCAGACTTTTAGTAACCTATGCTATAGCTTTAATTGCACACTTAGAAGTTATTTACTTCTATAGTTACTTACTAATGCCCTTGCAAAGTTTAATATTTAGATCTGATATCTTCTTTCTATTTTTTTATGCCTCAAGTCCTTGGTTTCCTTAACCTTCCAATTCAGTTAGCTTGACAGAGTTGGTCTTCTCAGGCTTTAGATGCTTTCTAGATCTCCTTCTCTTGGTACACACTTCCAAAACACATATCCTTTTTCTCTAGTATAACTCTAGTGGCCAGGTTGGTTTATTCTCTATTGCAAGATCTTGTTGGCCAATTCTATCAATTTTTTAGTTTAATTTGAATCTGTTTTGTGATACTATCAAAGATCTTTACTACTTCTTTGCTTGGGTCTTGCCAAGCCAGTTTCAGATCTTTAAGTTCTCTCTGTTGGTTTTATATGATTCTGGAAGCCTTCTTGTGAGTTTGTGCTATATAAACTAGTTTGCATTCCTCTGTATAACACAGATGCTTCCAGAATCTTCCAGTGTATAAGGTGTATTGGTGTGACTAGATTATAGGTGATAAAACCCAACTTAGCAATAAAGATCTATTACTATGATACAAGTATTTTTTTTCAAACTGTTGCTAGTGGGATTCAAACTCAATACCATAGTCAAGCTAGCTTGGGGTTGCAACAACTCTACAACTACACTAAGTCACCACACCCTACTTACTACAAATCAACTGAACAAAAAATGTATCTTTTTTATTTTTGGTAAATATTTTTAGAAATGAACTTCTGCTAATAAAATTTTTCTTTTGACTTATTAAACTTTCTTTACATATTTTATTCATTAAAATATTCAATGTAATTGATTCATTAAACTATTTTTTTGGCAATAAAAATTTGCCTTTGAATCTATTCATTGGGTTGATTAAGATGTCTGAGAACACTTTTAATCTGTTTTAAAGACTTAAATTTACTAAAGTAGAATCTAAATCTATAGATATTTCATATCTGCATATAATACACATTCTTAGCTATTGTTTAATTTTATTAAATAAATAAGAATTTCTATTTGTACATGGGGTGTATATACACAAGTAGTGTAAAAACCAACTGATATCTCAAAATTTTGATTATAAAACCACCTTTTGGCTTCTAACAAAAAAAATTTCTTGAGAATTTTTGGTATATACTAACTCTTGCTCCAATTACAAACCCACTCTTACTCTAACCATAAGCAAGGGTTTAATTTTTTGTTTATTAAAGTTGTTTTGATTGACATGTTACACAATTTTTGTAATTCAATAAATGATACCTGTTGTGAGCACTGAAATCGGCGAGTCTGTCACTTGATGAAAGTTAGCTTCATGTAACCAAAGGTTTGGTTATGTTGCATTGAAAAGAGGCATGTTAGATTTGGCAAGTGGTTACTGAATAAGGGTGGTCTATACAGAATATAACTTAGATAGTGTATGCACATTGATAATTGGGTATGATAACGATTGTAAAATTGTATGTATATTAATAAAAGCAAAGGTGGGGGTTATTCTTCCCAGGGGCCAAAATGGCCTTTATTTATAATTGATTTTGCTAACAAATGGAATATTTACAATTATTGCTATTCTAGGTATTTCAATAATTCCACCTATTGTGACTTTTCACCTTATTCCCATAATTCACCTTATTCCCTTAATTCATCTTATTGTTGTAATGCGGGTTATTCAAGGGATCTCCAGAATTCGCAGAATTTTGCTAGTAAATCTAAATTAGGAATTCCCATATCACGTGGGCATGTGTCTGCTATCAGGTCACGTTTCGGGTTTCACACTGTGTATAAACACCACATGTAAATTAATAAATTTTTCTAAATAAATATATATTTTATTATTAGGGTAGCTGCGCAGCACGTGACGTGGTGCAGAACCAGTACGATCACACAGCGACGAGTAAAATTCTGACTATTCGTCTGATAAAATCGGTTACTAAATAGCTTACTTTCCTGGTAAATTAAACAAAGCTAAAAAAAAAACAAGAAATATAAGTAAAGGTGTTATTGTGGCAAATTTATTATAACTCGTGATCCAACGATTCGAATCAACTGATTTTTATATTATTCGATTAGTTTCATTGTAACGAATTGAATAGTATATAAGTCGTTCAATTTGGATTCATGGATTACAAGTATACATGTGTGCCTAAATTGCCCATCTTAATAAAAAATTAATCATGGCATTTAGGTAGCCGAAATTAGTTTCATATAGTGCTGAAATTAATTTTCATACAGTATATATCGAAATTATTGCCAAAATTTTTTAAACTCTTTTCATCAAAATACATCATATAGGTGTCGACAAGCAAAAACAGGGAATTGTGAGTTTTTCAAAATTATTTTACAAATAAAACTCTAAAAAAATGTGATTTAACACACTATATAATTTATGTTATGCTTAATTTAAATTTATCAGGAATCAGATCAGAAAGCGGAGCTAGCAAAAATCAAAATTCACTGTTTTCACTTGTCGACTCCCATATAATATAGTTATTTCAGAGGGTTTACAGCTGTTCTCATAAATTCTGGAACAAATGATAAAAATTTGGCCAAAATTAACTCTGCTGAATTCGATAAGTTTTTGATCTCAGTACATAAGCTTTTGATTTTGGTACATAAGCTTTTGGTTTCTGTACATAAGCTTTTGATTTCTGTATATAAGCTTTTGATTTCGGTAAGTTCTGATAACATTGAAATCAAAAGCTTATGTACCGAGATCAAAAACTTATTGAATTCAGCAGAATTAATTTCGGCCAAATTTTTATCACTTGTCCCAGAATTTATGAGAAAAGCTGTAATATAAAAAATTTAGTAATGCCGAAATGTTTGCTGAAAATACTTTTTTTCAAAAATAATTTAGGCACACATATATAATCACAAGATCTTCATATTCAAACATAATATTGTAATAGACAAATATTTTAAATCGATAATATTCAAACGTAAATAAGTCATAACCCTGTAATAAAATCAAACAATTTTTATACCATTCAATTTGCCTCGAAGAGGTGAATCGAATGATATAAAAATCGTTTAATTTAGATCCTTGGTTCACGGGATATTATAAACTTACCACAATATAATATCAGCACGCCATAATACCTTCTCACTTTCACAGCATTTAAATAGCAACAACTCGTAACCTATCAATCTAAATTTAATGATTTTAATACGATTCGATTCATCTCTTCGAAATGAATTGAATGGTATAAAAATCATTCAATTCTGATTGATAGATCATGAGCCTAAAGAACTTAAAGAAGAAACACGAAAGTTAATACCAAGGACTAAACGAAGCAAAAAAAAAAAAAACTGAACTACGATGCTAGTGTAAAAGATACACAACATCAATGACAAAAAGCGCTAAAATCTGAAACTGTTATATAAAGAATTTAGAAAAGAAGAAATGCGAAAGTAGTGCTAATAACCAAATGAAAAAAAAAGACAACAACACTGGACTAACAATGCCAGCAACAAATGATATACCAAAATGGATGACACCAATGACAAAAGCAAGACAAAAGCACCAACTAATGGCAACATGACAAACACCAGTGATGGAAAGATTGAAATCCAAAACAGCAGAACCTAAAGAAAAAAGAAAATGCAGTAGAAAAGAAAAAAAAATTTATGTAACCAGTAATGGTTACCATTACTGTTTGAAAATTAATATTAATAATCAGTAGCTTCGCATTATGACGAAATTAATATGTAATCAGTAAGTCAGTTTGCATCATAATGACATATTGCGTGTCTGCGATCATATGGTATGCAAAAATCTTAACTCCTTCCAAAAACGAATAAACGAAATTCATTACTCCTACTAAAAAAGGATTTTGCAAAAATCAGCATAAGCGACATCAAAAAAGTTGAAGGAAACCATCCCTACCACATTTCATGTTACACAAGAAACGTGATCGTACTGGTATATGTATTATACTGTATATCGTCAAATAAGATAATATTTACAAAAAAGCGTTATGTACAGTACTAGTTACCAATATGTATTATTATATGTTACATTATTGTTTAAAGTCTATCCTTCTCTCTGGCAAATACCATCTCTACATTTACATAGAGATTGTACCAGGGTAGACATTTTTATTATATGGCTATAATAAATTGCCTGGATAACCGCGTAATTTAATAATACCCGTGTAGAGATTTTCTTGACGGGTACAATCTCTACGTTTACACTCTCGCTTACTAATTTGCACACGATTAAAAAAAAAAATAAGTAAATGAACAAAATTACAAAATTATGAAATAACGAACAATAAGTAATTGTAAAAATATATTAATAAGAAAAAAATAAGGAACTAATTGATAACGTCAAGAAAAATGAACGTAAAAAATATAACAATGAGGATTCCACGTGGTGACGATCATCAGATCAGGTAGATAAAGGCCGTTCTCAAGCGCCTACCTCAATTTAATTAGCTAGTGATCGAGGTGACGCTCAAACGCTACGATCAATTGAAATAAAGATTGCAATCGATACTTGAGCTATCCCTTCCAATCGGTTCCATTATGGCTACAAAAAAAAAAAAGAGCCGATTATCTAGTTATATACCTAAAAATTTAGCACACAAGACTTTGGCGTTTGAAACTTTGCCTACAGGTCCGTCCTCTTAACAATTTCACAAATAACTTATGATTGCTATATTTGGCTACACAGTTATTACGGCAACAATAATATTCGGTAACGCAACTTTATATGGATTCTTTAATGTTAAGCGAAGTGATATCGAAATATAATGGGCATAAATGTTATTTTAATAATATATATACGACATATAAAAAAAATAATTTTTTCGAATAATAACTCTGAACGTCTTTTATTTGTTATAAAATTTTTAACATTAAGAGTAGGAAAATAATTTTTTGGTAGCGACGATGGTATACTCATTGAGGTAGGCGCTTGAGAACGGCCAAAATTTCAACTTCTCAAGGCATAGATCACTGTAGTTTTCGTAAATGCCACTTTTAACCCGTGACAAGGGTAAAATGATTTCTCTCAACGAACGAAATTTTAATTTTATTATTTTCTTAGATATGTACTTGACTGTTAATGTAATACTTTTTTTTTTGTAGTATATACCGAATAACTGGTGCAGAGTTACATAATAGAATCGAACGCCGCTTGTATTTAACACCCTTAGCTGTTTCCTCGTGATTTTTAACCAATAGAAACGAAACAAATTTTAATTAAGAAACCAATTTCTGCGGCTTAATTAAAAATGTTCCTCGTAAAATTTTAATAATAGAAACTCTACCATCCTAACCCTAGCTTTAACTTAACCCTAACACAAGCTACTGTACAACGTTTTATTCTCAGTAAAAATTACAGGGGGCAATTTTTGTGGGTGCGCTACCTAAGTCACTAAAGAGCGTTACATCTGATCTCAAATTTGATTGGTCAAAATTACAGGAGGTGAGCAATTTTTGTGGAAACGCTTATTTCGATATTTATGGGAAAAAGGGTAACGTAAGAAAGTATTTTCTTTATTTGGAATATGTCTTGAATGAAACTTGGATTCCTCTTTTTTCTCACATACTTATTTAAACATTCGCAATACATTAATATTGATTATATCTACCTGCATTTATTTAATTATCGATATCGATATTACATTTACCCTTTATTAATACGTAATATTTTGATCATGTTTTATATTACGTAATTAATACGTCTATCAACTGTCACTGATTTATTAAGGAATATATTAACAAAATTTTACATACAATACAGTAGGAATGTTAAGAATTTATTTTGTACTACTGATTTTAATGTACTGACTAATTGAATAGATCACGTTTTTAACCACCTGGTTAAACGACTTAACATCACTACAATACATTCTTTTAAAGTTTGTCATTTTTATGTTTCAATATAAAATTTATAATCTAAAAAAAACCAATTATGTTCAAATTTTGAAATCATTATTTTTCTCTTTTATTGCATCTAACTCGTTCATGTGTTAATTCTAAAAATAACTAATAATCCAGATATGGGTATTAATTCCGAAAGAACAACTATTGTAATGCAATTTAATAACATAATTGGAATTTTATCCTGATACTCACGCTAATATGCATGCTATTCCATACAAATCTGACAATCAGTATACTAATTATAGATAAAAAATAAAAAGAAAAATACGAATTGCAACGTTTCACAATATTTACATAATAGTGGGAAAAAAAGTTATATAAATATGGTACGTACGTACGTATTGCACAAACACACACACTAAAACTTTACACTATGATGACATTACCGAACGAGTGTTATTATATAATATTCAATAACCTTTGGCCTAATTATAAAAACTTATTATCATGTATTCTTGTAAACCGTCAATGGTGCAGAATTGTTATACCATTATTATGGAGCGAACCAGAGCATCATCTTAAAGACATAAGACTTATAAGAACATTACTTTTATCATTAAATGAAGAAGAAAAAGCTTTATTAACACGTCTTAAAATTACGCTTCCAAGTTATCCAAAACCACTATTTGAATATTCAAGTTATATCACAACTATCGGCAATTATCTATTTGATGGGGTTAGAAATTGGCTTCACCATGAAGGATATAGAAGTGTTTGTGAAATTGAAAAGGTTGGAAATGCCGTTAAATGCTCTTTGATTGCAATGTTTCTACGAACTGGTAATAATCTCAAATATTTAAGTCTTAATGAGATTATTTGTAATCAAATAATATTTGAAAGACTCTGTGAAAACACTACAATTTCTTCTTTGGATGTATATAATATCGTTGGCGATTTTAAATCTAAAGTGATGGATGTATTAGTAAAATTTCTTAATAAAAATTCTACTTTGACTTCTTTAAGTCTTAAATCTTATCAACTTGGGTCAGAAGGTGGAAAAAAATTATTAGAAGCTCTTTATAAAAACACTGTCCTAAATTCTTTACATCTTTATAATAATCAATTTGGTATTGAAGAGGGAAAGGCATTAGCAAACTTTCTTTGCAATAACACTTCTCTGACTTCTTTATCTCTTGATTTTAATAAGCTCGGCTCTGAGGGTGGAAAAGCATTAGCGGTGGCTCTTCACAAAAACACTACTCTGATTTCTTTGAATCTTGATAATAATCAACTTGGTTCTGAGGGTGCGAAAGCATTAGCAAATGCACTTCGTAAAAACACTTCTCTTATTACTTTAAGTCTTTGCAATAATGAAATTGGTGCCGAAGGTGGAAAAAAATTAGCAGATGCTCTTTGTAAAAACACTACATTGTGTTCTTTAACTCTTTGTCATAATCAAATTGGTTTTATAGGTGGGGAAGCGTTAGCAAAAGCTCTTTATAAGAATACAACCCTAACTTATTTGAATATTAAGGAAAATCAAATTTATTATGATATTGAAGACTTATTAGAAAAAGTTCTTTGTATAAATACTTCTCTAAATTGCAAATATTAAATAAACTTCGGTTCAAATTCCAATGCACTTAATTTTAATATTGTTGTATATAAAATTTACATTGGTTGATTCAAAATTTGATGGTAAGTTATAGGTTAATAAATGTTTAGAACAGACAAACTAGTAATTTTGGATTTTACAGGAAAGTATAAGTGCTATTAATTGTACACCTTGTTTGGCTTGTCCAATTGAGTTATATGAACCGAAAATTCTATTAATTGAATAGTTATTTAAAAAGTTTAACGAAAACGAGATTATTATTGTAGAACTCGGAAAATCCAATTTCAGATTAACAGAGATAACTTGCAGACTTTAGTATCCACTAATCTGTGATTGTAAAAGTAGAGTGGGTTAATGTTTATTTTCTGAGTTTTATAGTATTTGATTTTGTTTTAATTTGAGATCTTAGCCAGAAATTCAATTCTTGAGCATTATTAAATCCTGTCATTCAATAAAAAAAAAACAATATTTCACTCAATTTCAACTTTAATTTTTTTTTTTTTTTAGAAAAGGTATCACGTACAAGTATACAATGTTATGGATTTAATTTTTTTAAAAAAAAAACATTAGAAGAAAAATTTACATTTTTATTAAATATAAAGTTTATAATAAAAAAAAAAGATAAAGTACCACCGTAATGGAATTAAATATTACGTAACTATCATTACCCTCCATATGCTTTTAAAGCCAAATACATAGTTTCATTGTTCTGGACATTATATTCATGCAGCTTCTTTTGACCATCATTTAATTCTTTGGTTTTAGATTTAAGGATTTGTTCTTCTACTGGGATTCCTATTGAATAAGTCACAGAGTGAGCAATCAACAAAAATACTATTTTTGCTTTCTGAAGCCAAATTATACCTTCGAGTTCAAGAATTTTTTGCTTGACACCTTCGACAGTGTCATCTTCAGATACTATAAGAGGAAATTTTTTTCCTTTAACTAAATCTACAGATAGAATTAGACGCGAAAACAAAAACATAGTTCCTTCGCTTTGAAAACTAAGGGTATCCAACGTATCTTCATTCTTTGGTTCTTTTGTTAGATAGATAAGCTTTTGTAAATTCAAGAGCATTCCTATTAAAATAAGTTTCTGAGTGAGTGCACATCTTTTTTTTTTTTTTACTTATCCAAAGCTGAATTATACCTTCGCTATCCTGAATTTTCTGTTTGATACTCAAAACAGTGTCATTTCCAAACACCTTGAGAGTGATTTTTTTTCCAGAGAGTAAGACTATGAACAAGATCATAATAACTATAAATTTTTATTTGGCTAAGGTTTTATAATTTACACAAGTGAAAGAAAGCGATTATGTAAATTTTAATCTTGAGGAGGGACGATATGTTAACAATGATTACAGAACAAAGAAATCTCTAATCAATATGATCATAAACAAATTTACTGCAACTAGGGATCTGCAAGTTCCAGTGTAATATTTTTAAATATTGCCAGGCATATGCTCATGCATCATTTTTTAATAACCTATGCTCGGCATTTGCAGTAACTTTGATAAAACATTGATATTTTGTAACACAGAAACTATGCTTTATACGTAGCTATAAATAAGGCATGGCTTCATGCGGAGATAAATGAAAAACTAAAGGAAACTCTAACAAATTTAATAAATTTAATGCCAAAAACGAGAAATTTTGAATGCAATATTTGTTATAATGATGTGCCCGTCGTCGATTTCATGAGAACAAGTACCAAATGTAATCACAGAATATGCAGAGAATGCCTCAACAAAAATATTAATACTCAACTGAATTCAAAGGGTAATACTGAAATTAAATGTTTAAAGAGTAATTGTGAGGTCTTGATGGATTATGAAGACATGAAGCGAGTTGCCAGTGAAGATTTGTTTGAAAGGTAGATTTAACTATATGTAGTATATATCACCATTTCTAATTTGGTACTATTAAGGAAGGATCATTTTTTTCTCTAGATATGAATATCTTTGTCTTCGTCAAGCTATACGAAAAATGCCAGATTTTCGATGGTGCTCAAATCCGGAATGCGGTTCAGGACAAGAACATTTTGAACGAGGTTGGAATAAATATTTGTATGTAAGTCCAAAAATTAGCTAACCAATTTTTAATTCTAATAGATAAAGCACCAATAATGGTTTGTATTGAATGTGAAAAAATGACTTGTTATAAACATGAAGTTCCATGGCATGAAGGCCGCACCTGTGCTGAGTACGATATTGAGAAAGGAACTCCTGAAGGTGCCACGAGTTATGCCATCGAACGCGATACCAAACCTTGCCCCAAATGTAAAGTTAGAATTTATAAAACGGGTGAGGATATTATCTTGATTTTGATTTTTAAATTATTCACTGATTTAATGTTTTTTTTTTTTCACTTTATAGGAGGATGTACTCATATGAAATGCACTAATCCCGGATGTTATTATGAATTTTGTTGGTTGTGAGTATCAAGTTGGCTTTTTTGTAATTTAGATTTTCTTAGTGAAATTCTTAACTTTATTCGTTGTACTTTTTTTTGAGCATTCTAGATGCAGCGCGGATTATAAAAATATTTTTAATTACGGCAATGCTCATCACAAAAAAACTTGCGAATTGTATAATAAAAAAGCATACCGTTGTTAACTCCGAAATCGGCGAGTCTGTCGCTTGATGGGAGTTAGCTTCGTGTAACCGAAAAGTAGGTTATGTTGCGTCGAAGGAGACGTGTTAGATTTGGCGAGTGGTTAATAAATGAATGTATATAGGTAGTAGGGTACGTTTATATGACTTAGGTATTTAGTATTTAGGTAAAGCGAGAATTATCGACTATAATAACGACTTAGTAGCCGCTCAGGTTTATTATGTACACAGTTTATATGTTAATTAGGGATAGATTTACATATACTATTATTAGTTTATGTTTTAATAAAAGCAAAGTGGGAACTTGTTCTTTTCCCAAGGGCCAAAGGCCTTTATTTATAATAATGATTCTATCTACAAAAGCTGTCTATAACTCCAAAAATGCCCTTATTGACAGAAACGGCCTTATTGTCAAAATCCCTAATAATCCGTTTCTGTAATTTCTGTAATTTCTGCCGTTTCTGTCAGAAATGGCCTTTCTGTGATTTCTGGCCGGTAAACCCCAATTTGGAAATATCCGAGGTCACGTTTCCGGTTTCACACCGTTTTGAGCAGGTTTATAAAAAATTTATGCGAATCTAAAACTTCTTTTAATGATAATATGTTATTCTTTTTTCACGTTAATTAGTAAATGTTGTATTGTTACTATGGCAATAACTTTATTATTTTATGAAATAAAGCATTAATATATCGAGCAAGAGTTATCATTTTTGACGAAAATTACCTAAAATATTGTCTTTTATAAAGTTGTAAAACGTACAGTACTGTACATACAGTATATGGCAATTTAACGAAGTGAGGGTCCTAATGATGATAATGATGCTGATAAGTCACTAGAAAAAAAATTCGAAAATGAATTAATCAATTAGTTGTAAGTCGTTCGATCAGATGACTTTATAAAAATAATCTGAAAACATATGGGAGTAGGTCCGATATCATTTCATAGGCTCTATCCTAGATCCAACAATATAGTTAAAAAGTTCTGTAAGACCTATAACCTTAAAAAGCAACCAAATAAGCCAATACGCATTAATTTTAGCATGCGAGTATAAAAAACATTTGCTAATCTAAAATTTAAAACAAGCTATTCGAATTAATTTACCATGCCCATGCGAATATAAGAATATTTATTAAACCAAGTATATAAAACAAACTATTCAACTTCATAAGAAATTACACAAGTGATGCAATAGGACACCGGTGGCATCCTATTTTCGCTAGTATAATATAAAATTTTGGAGATAATTAATAATACATTTTCTGATAACGCGTATTGCATCCTCTATTAGGCTTTCTGGATATATAGTCTCACTTAAAAATGTAATTTTAAATACTGGTTAAATATATTTGCTACTATTTTTTGAAATTTTTTTTACTCAATGAGTTAATATGATTTCACCAAATCTCGCTAATAACCTTTTCTATTTTTTTAATCTTTCTCCGACTTTATATTTTAACAGTATCATTATCCTTTTCAAGTAGTTCATTAATAAATAATGTTGGATCATGAATATATTTTACGAGTTTTTTCAACATCATAGACACCAAAACTCTATTCATAAGCATAGCGTAGCGTGTAGGTAGAATGTTATACTATGTGGGATCCAGTAATTCGGGTGGGTAATTTCGACTTTCATCCGCTCTATTTAACTTTTTTTTTATAATTATCTATTTTTAAGCGCTTAGAAGGATAATTCAACAACTTTTATCTAAATTAAAATTATCGGTTATGTCAAAACAATTATATCCAAAAAGATGGACCACGTTTAAAATTGCGGTAAATTGCTTTTAATGGTTCGTTTATATGACATAAAATAGAATTTTGAATATCTCCACTTATATGTTGAACTTCTATGTTGATAGTTATATTTCTTATCCCAACCAATAGAATTATATCCACTAAGAATTTCATTCATAACTACAACAAGGTGAGTTTACTTATCACATAAATTCCAGAATGAAGCGACATTAAAACCATCTCTAAGAAGCATTTTATAACATAATTCCAAGTTTTACTTCATTCATTTGTAAATCATCTCGACTAATAAGTGATATTATTGCGCTTTGCAAAAATGTGACCCTGTGATTTTCACGGTGATGATGGCGGAAAATCCCCGCGATTCTTAATAAAAATTCATATTTAGAATTGAATATTACTAACTATAACCGGTGGTGACCAGGGTGCTTATATATTATATATAAAATAAAAATAAAAATTCTAAAACTGCACACTAACCCTAAAAATAGCGCACCCACAAAAAATTTTCCCTCCCGTGATTTTTGACCAATCAAATTTCAAGATCAGGTGTAACGTAAACAAACGAAGCGAAACCATTTTTTACAAATAAACTGAAATAACTCGAAATTTTAATTAAGAAACTACATTCTGCGGCCTAATTAAAAATGTCCCTTGTGAAATTTTACTAATAGGAATAACTAACTCTAACCCTAACCTTACACTGTTCTCGCTCTAACCCTAATTATAACGCGGTTTTATAAATTACGGGTAGGGAAATTTTTGTGGGTGGGTGCACTACCTAAAATTAATAGGTCAAACGTTTGCCTGCGTTCTGTCACATTTCCTTTTTGGCTAAAATGGGTAAGATCATCATAAAACAATTTTAATACTAACACTATACGTATTATCTCTTAAACCGTTTTTCCTACAAATTTGCCTTGAAATTTTTTTAAAAATTTTATTTTTAAAATAAAATTTTAAATATTAATTTTAGCTATATATTTTCTAAGTAAAATATTTAATTTTAGACCTTATTTATTAATTTTATTAAGAAAATTTTTTAAAATTATTAAAAAACTTTGATGTAATAAAAGTTTAAAGTTCTTGTATTGTAATTTTTACTATAGAATTTGTCTTTAGATTTTTTTAAATTTTATATATTTTTTGCTTATAAAAAAATCTTTGCTTCTAAGTAAAGTCTTGATTTTTATTAGTAAGTCACTAAAAGTGTAATAATGAAAGTTGTAATTCTTTGATAAACTATAATATTGCTTTAAGAACTATACATATGTTTAAAATTAAATTTTAAAAAGTTTGTCAAAAATTTGTAAATAATTTTTTTAGTTAAAATTTTTTTTTAAATTTGTCTATTTTTAGTTTATAAGCAACCCAAACTTTTTTTTTATAATATAAAATTAAATACTACTATAATATAATCCTTATTTTTAAATATTATCAAAAAAAAAAATCATTTAAATATATTAAATTTTTAAAAAAATAAATCAGAAATATTTTTATAGTAAAATTCAGTCTAAATTTGGCATGATTTTCAAACAGTTTAAGAGATATGTATTTTTATAAGCAGAATTTGTTTATTTAGAAATTAAAAGCCAGTTGGCTTAATAAATTTAGAATTATTTAATTATTTAACAATTTTTTTGTTGTACAAGTAATAGATAGAGAGAGAAAGTCATAATACTTATAGTTTTTTTTTTTTTTTAATATTTAGAGGAATATCCTGGATGTAACATCTACCCCAAACTTTTATTAATACTTAAATGAATTGATATATGGTGGTGTCATAAACACATACATATTACATATTAGTATTGAGACTAAGACTTTAGGTATACAAACCATTTATCCATGGCTAAAACCCACCAGAGCTGTCAACATTCCCACATATGTGATTGACC